ATTTGAATGTAGGCCCTCTTGATCTTGAGGCCCTAGGCTGAAGCCTAGTTAGCCTATAGGAAAATCCGGCACTGGGCCAGCCCTTCAATGGGACACTGGGTTCGCATACTTCCTTTTCTGATCCCTTTTGGAAATTGTTTGTTAACTGTTTTGTGGCTATTAGGAACATTTGGATTAACAAGTCTGAAATCACTGGGTTAGCTTCCTTCAATCCTTATCAAAAGAAGTTTTCAATACAAGGTTAAGGACTTTGAAAAAAAATTTTTTTTAATAAACAGCAAAAGAGTGATTAGAACTTTGATTTTGAAAAGTTACAAATGAACTAAGGGTATAGATGGATTTGAAATAAAATTTTGGAATTAATTATACAAGATTTCCCATGGAAAAATGCTTTTGTTTTGAATTTGTATAGAAAAAAACTTAAATGGAACTTTGAAGATTGGACAATAAAGGATAGTTGAAGGAAAATAAAAGATTTCAATTTAAAGGAGAACCACCTACATTTGACTTACAAACACTAATATTTATGAGGAAGGGGGAGTCGTTCATTTACATATTTCTTTTCTTTTTCTTTTCTTCATTCTTATGTTTCTTCCTTTCCTCCTTTTTAGTTTCTGCACCTATTCTTTCTTTTTCTTCTTTTCTTTTATAGTTTGTGTTAGTATTATTTTAATTATAATTTTTGTATAAAATTACAACACAATTTAGAAATGTCAGAGGCAAAATGAAAGAGTGAATTGGTTATTGGGGGGTGCCTTAATTGATACAAGAATACCTCTCTGAAGGAGAACAGGATGGCTCCTTCTTAAAGATCATATCTTTTGCGGCACATGCTGGTAAATTGAAATCTTAATCATTGCAATGTCTTCTATGTGTATTCTGACTTTATGTCTAATATGAGCACTCTGAGCAATTTGACACAAAATTGTAGCCATGTTGAACTTGGAAGAACAACGCATGCTCATATTTTGCATATAATTAAAGCCCTGAAATCAGTGGTAGGTTTCTACTGGTTCGGACCGGTTTGGCTGAACTGATAGTAGCTTGGCGGCCTGGGTCGCTGGAACTGGCAGTTACCCAGCCCTGCCACGCCCCCAAACTGGTTTTCCCGGAGGCGCCATAGGCACCGCCATCTTGTTTTTTGCTTCTGCTTCTATGTAGAGCAATTTTAGTTGTACTGTGTATGCGCGGGTAGGTCGCATCAACTTGTGCATGCGGTGTGCCCCTGAACGAATCGGCAGTTCGGAACTCACCCTTGCCAGAATCCACCACTGCCTGAAATTGTTTTCAATTTGTTCTCTAGCAAAATGCATCCAATTGGCAAGGTAGATATGTTCTGTGTCCCCTCAGTGAAGCAGTTTTGATTTCCACCCAGGGCTGACAGATAGGATTTAGGAAGTATACTTTTTGTTCCAAGTTACCTGCTTCATAAACAACCTCCCTATGACAATTCAAACAGCCTTGATCCTGCTTGGTCTCCAGCATAACAACATAATTTTCCTCCAGTTATGGAGCTGTGGAAGCCTGCTTGTATTTGATGTGGATAAGGAGATTTTTTTATGTGGCCGTGTATAATAGGCAATTAATACTATTTAAATGTCAGGCTCAGAAATCACATCTGTTGAGATGGTTGTTTTGTTCCTTAGTAAAGCACGAATGGCCATATTAATGGGGAAAAAGAGTAAAGAATAACTGTAGCACCATCATGTGGAGATGGCCTACATCACATGACAGAATTGGACGGAAACAAGTTTTCTTTCCAAAGTTTCCCAGGAATGGCATTAACTTACTTTAAGGTTAATATTAGTATTCATTTAATTAAAAGACCTTAACTTTGTTCGCATGTCTTCCCTGCAACTCCACATTACAGGAAAGGCATCCCATCAAAGTAAATACTAAATTTGATGTAACAGCGGATTTCAGAAAATGGGAGAAATGCACAAGAATGAGCAATGCTCTTAAACAGAAAATAAAAAATGGGTTATTGTAGAAACAAGGACTATTGCTTTGACAATAAGGAACTGAAATAACCCACAGATTGGAAAATATGATTGTTTCTATCAAGTCATCCAAATGTTTGAGTCACATGAACAACGTTGAAGTTTCAG